AATCGACGTTTGAGGTCGTTAGACACTAACTAAGTGGGTGGGGGAGAACAAAATTGTTCTTTTTGATCCAAGGAGAGGCCTTGATGATCAAGTTTTTAAAATTTAATTAAATAGAAAATGAATTAAGATCCAAGGATAAGCCTTGATGATCTGATTTTAAAATTAAGTGAATTTAAGTTTAAAATGGTTTAAATTTGTTTAAGAAAAGATTTAGTGTTTGAATGATATTAGTGAGCTTATGATTGCTGTTATATTTTAGGTGATGAAGCTGGGACAACTGATGATTTTATGATTACTAACAGTTTATTGTCATGCTACTAATTTTTATTTTGATTTTCAATAAATATTTTCCAAACATGTTTTATATAATACTGCAGAATTTTAGGAAAACGATCTGAGATATTTTTATCAATCGTTATTGTATATTAATATTTTGTTTAGCGCCTGAAATGAGCATGAAGATTGATTTCAAGATTTAAGTTTGCAAATGAAAATCTAAATTCATTGCTAATAAAATTCTAAATATAAAAGTCTGTGTTGGCTTTTGCCGTACTATCATATAACTATTTGGTAAGTTTCTACTTTGTCGTATGTCGTCTCTGGTTCGAGGTATTCTTCAATTCCGGGTAGTTCTATTATCGTTCGGAATATTGGCTCTGATCTATTGAGTCGTAGAGACATTTCGATTAAATTATCGTCGTATAACATTTTAAAAATGTTTTGATTAAATTCTAATCTATTTTTGGTTAATTCTAAGCTATTAAGGTCTTGTTCGAGACTTATGGTCGCACCAGATGAGTTATAACCGAGGTGGTTAACTCATAGAGTAATTTCGGATAGGGTACACCGTCTGCTCGTCACGCTATCTTATTTTCGGCCGGATAGATTCGTGCAACTTCTTAGTCTAATACCGATCCTAATCTTACTCTTATACTATCTAGTCTCAGGTTGTTTAACTAGTCTCTGCTAGGCTCAATAGATCTAGGGTATACTGGTTTATTGCGGCTGCTGAAGTTCTCTTGGAGAGTCAACTAATTTCTAAGTTAAATTCAAATCTCTCTGGTGCTGAAATTACAAGTAATTTCAGCACTTACAAATAAGTGGGTTGTTAGTTAGATGGATCATGATTGGTTAATATTAAATACTTTACAATGGTAAAATATCTAATTTATCCAATCATAAAATGTAGTTTAGATCAGGTTCCAATGGATTGACTAAGTTAGGAATACGGCGCGGCTAAATTATTATTCATCCAGATTTAATTTTATAATTTACGCATACTAAGCTAAACTTGTAAACTTTCAGATTCGGTCTTGAAGGCCATGTAGCTCGGTGACCTTCATGTCTTCAGCTAAAAGCCAAAGATTTATTATGGTCACTGCATGCATATCTTTCGACAATTTGTACAAATTGAAAGCAAGTTACAATATAGATTGTTAAGTTTTATCTTTGTTTTTTACTTTGAATATCGATTGGATAAAACCTTGGAAGGAGTCGGAGTGGAAGTAAAAATAAGTAGCGAAGGAGCAGCCTTGGGTTGTTTAAAAAAGTTGGGGCAGCTTTTTAAAGACTATTGTGCGTCTAATTTGGTACCTTTTTAAGATCATTTATCCACGGGGGAAAGGACCAGCATACGAGCTGTACGGCAACCGCTTTTGTGCCCCTGTTTAAGAACTGCATGCAGTTTTTTTGGTTATTTTTCTGGGCTGGGTAGTGTTGCTTCACCCTCAAGCAACGAGCATGGATCATGGTGGGCCTCGAACATCCGACCTTTCGATTGAGAGGCGGAGACGTAACCACTTCACCACCGCTCCCCACGAGTAAGATAAGACCTAGTTGGGTCGCTTGAAGTCTCTGTCGCGGCTATTTTGGGAATATTGAGCGACTAGGACTAATTTATTATCCATCCAGATTGATATTTTTTTTTACATACTAAGTTAATTTTTTTAAACTTTTTGTTTTTCTATGAAGAGAAAGTAGCTTAGTGACCTTCTTGTTAACACGGAGAGGTCAAATACTTTTTAATATCACTGCTGATTTCTTGACAAATATGTTTTTTAGATAACTTGAGCTTGAAATGGTGCAATCGGCTGAATAAATGTCCCCTTTGAACAGCTCATCATTCTGAGAAACACAGTCGACAGAGCCAATTGCCTCGAATCGTCGAATTGAAGAAAATTTTAAAATCGAAGAACTGTTAGGAAACAGACAAAAAATACCGCGCAGATAACAATCTCCGTTTCAGAGATATATAAGGTGAAGCAAAGTGGTCAAACGAGAGACTGAAAAAACAGAATTAAAGAAAAAAGTCAAATACGAAAACGAGAAACAGAAAGCGGAAAATAGGATGACGCAGACAAAAAAGCAATATTTTGTCTATTCTCTATCCGGACAGAGAAACGTAGCGCCCGTTCAGACTCTGGAAAGCAAATAAAGAACTATAGGCAGTTAAAAAATTTTGTTAAAAGAACTGAATGAAATTCTCGTAACGAATAAAAACATCGCTTTCGAAATATGTGAATTAAACAATGTCATTCAAATTTAATGAAACTAGCCTCAAAAATTGACCGTGAAAAAAAATGTGTCCGACACCTGTTCACTGCGCATATTTTAAACGAGAAAAACTTGTTAAGATTCTAGAGGACACAAAAACAACAAAAGAGGCAATGGTCTATGCAAAAAGAAGTGAAAAAGGAATCAAAAACCATCAAAAAAATTCATCTTAGCTGAGAACACGCCAACGCTCCAGGAAACCCCTTTCAATTAAGACAGGAACCAACGCGTTATGTAAGCCAACCAGGGGCGGATCTAGGATTTTTTCGAGGGGGGTGGCGGATTTTCAAAAAATTTTAGGTCGACCTTTTTTTTAGGTCGACCAAATTGATTTTCCGAGCTCTTCTAAAGCACTAAAAAGTCCATGTTTTGGCCAATTTTCTGCGCCGCAGGCGAATTTTTGAAAAAACAGGTCAAAAAAGCCGTTTTTAGGCACTTTTTGAAAAATATTGACAAAAAATCGCGTTTTTTTTGGCGCGCGCTCCCCCTCAAAGTTAGTATATATTGGAGCCGAGGCGCCTTTAGAAAAATTTTAGGGTCGGTCGGCAAAAATGGATTTCTTAAAAGTACCAAAGGGGGGACCCTTTGGGTCAGCAGGGGGTCGAATCCTGA